TGGCTCCTCATGTTTCAACCATGTTTTGACCAAATCTTAGATTGTCTGATTCGGTCTGATACCCTACAATTATTTCTGTATAATAAGTACACGCACAGCTTGTACAGTAAACAATGTGAGCAGCCATTCTGAACTCCTAAAAGATTTGTATATGTTCAGCAGACAAACATGTTTAAGTCCATGTCCTACATCCTGCCTGTCAGACAGCTAATTAGAGCCGAGGGTCTTTGCTGTGCGAGTTAATCGGCAGCACACTGTTTTATCAGCTGTCTGTAATTGGGATATGATCATGTGATTTATGATCATAAAGCAGACTTGACTTGACTTGATGTGGTGGGTTTATTTAGTTGTAATGAGGCGGAAAGGTGAACACCATATTTACCCAGATTTACCGTGACGGTAAACAATGCATTCAGCTAATCTGAACTCCTAAAAGATTTGTATGATATGTTCAGCAGACAAACATAGTTAAGTCCATCTCCTACATCCTGCCTGCCAGACAGCTAATTAGAGCTAAGGGTCTTTGTTGTGCGAGTTAATCTGCAGCACACTGTTTTATCAGCTGTCTGTAATTGGGATATGATCATGTGGTGGGTTTATTTAGTTGTAATGAGGCGGAAAGCTGAACACCATATTTACCCAGAATCAGACAATAACCAGCATGATCTCTAGAGGGACAAGCTCTGTTGGGAAAGTCACCCGCACTGCACTTGAGAATGGCTTATAGAGAGGCCAAGGAAGTCATTGTAGTACTCAGGGTAAGATTGAAATTGCCTGTTTGGGCTTGTCTGGCGCTTGCTTCCCTCTCGCTCACTTTTTCCCCCTTTCCCTTCCTGCATCCCACTGTCACGGTGCACTTGCTGGATGTGACCGATGCATTGCATTTTAGTCTCTTGGCAGAGAGAGCCGTGTTAAGGAAGTGTCTGTTTCTTGCTGTTAGCTGAATGATCGAGACAAACAAGCAAAACAGGCTGGCAGAAGGAAAGCAACTCTGTCTCCGCAGACTGACCGGCATACAAATCTTCACAAAAGGTACAAAAGACCATACCTTGAAGGTAAGTGGCCGCTATGGAGCCTAGTGGAGTAGATACAGCTGACCGCCCTCCAGCCCTGAAGTGTTTTTACACTCAGTCTCCATATGGTGGGGTGGCAAATGTGTTGTATATACACCATGTTCAGTCAGAGCAGATGTGTGTGGCCACCCCCTCCCACAAAACTGGCCGCCATGGCACAAGCTTTTCTGTTCATCCACAGTAGTGTCTGTTCTTCTTGCACCATGTGGAGTTGAAGCATTCTCAGAGGGCTTCAGTGCCAATAAAGAAGGTTTAAAAAGCTGACCCCTAACAGTCGTGTGTTTTCAGGGGAGTTAGGTGGATGTTGTCTTTAAACAAACAGGCCAGGCTGTGTGAATGCATCCCTCTGAAGGAGTGAGGCAATTATGTGGATCGTATTGCCCTGGGATGTTTTGAAAATGTGACTTTGAAAAGGAGGATTTGTGGACAACAGTTTGACCTCTGACCTCAGCAACAGATCTCATTTCAAAGTTCGATGCTTATTTTTAGGTTCCACCAGCGTGAACTTTAACATCAGTGGCCTTTGACCCCCGTGTGAACTTGACAGCACTGATTATTAGAGTTGTGTGGAATTCAGAATTAAAAATTTGGCTGTCTTTCATTTTATGAGTCAGTATTTGAATTGAACTGGCAGCGAGATGTTGAACTATAATTGAAATTACAGACAATTGGAATTTCCTGAACTGCAATTCAAAGATATTTTAACAATTGTTCTTCCACCCTGGTTTGTAAATCTGTCTGCAAAGCTCGTGACACACCAAACCAACATCAAAGAATGAGCAGCGATGAAAGCTGACTGTGTTGTTGCCTCGTGTCACCTGCGTGTAAGCCAAAAAGTTGCACTTGAACACACAGCAAAGACTACAGCCAGCAGCCAACTCAGTTGGAGGCAGTAGTCAACATTCGTTATTCAAAAAAGGAAACCAAATCTAGGACTCCAGATATACAAACCATAAACAAAGCAGCGCTTACCATTCTGAATATGAATAATTTTTATCAGTCCACCAGTGGCCAAAAATCCACCAACATGGTCCAACTAGTGTCGATGCTGCAGAATAACAAGCCTAGAAAACTGAGCCGACAGATGCTCAATGTTCCGACTTTGGCCGCCAGCTTGGTGTGTCAACTTTGTTGAGGCCTATAAAACCTTAAAACGTTCTAAGAACAGTGTATATAAGAGAAAAAAAAGTCATATGAGCAAGTATCAAACTTGTTGCTGTAGTTTGAATCTTGTTTTGGCATGGGCTCTATCAGACTTTCTTTGTTTTGACAATGGGTGCTCCCCAGAGGTCAGTGAATGTTGGCGTTTAGAACTGTCCATATTAAACGTCTGCTAGCTGACTACTTCAAATTCTATGTAACACTATTTATTTTCACAACAAACTACAACCACTCCTCATCACCCTGTTATGCAATATAGTAGTCAAACCTTCTTGTCTGTGTTCATGGATTTTGTGAATTGTAATTTCCCTCCCAATCTGACCTGATAGCTCAAAGTCTGTCTATACAGATATGAATAGATTGTTTTATGTACTTGTAATGACATTTTGTTCATTTTTAACCAAAAACTGGGGGGGCGGGGGCTTGTATTTAAAGCTTGTATTTAAAGCTACAATACAAAGCTGTATTGTAGCTTTAAATTCAAATGTGAATTCCAGTATTAGTTCTGTTTCAATTTGTAAAGGCACACAACCTTACTGTCTATGAGACTTATGTAGTTACATAAGTGTCCGTGTAGCTCAAACAGTAGGGCATTTTTATCATTATTTTATTAACTGATAACAATGTTTTTGTTGAATGCACTGTAAGTTGCTTTGATTACAAGCATCTGCCAAAAGTAAAAATATTTTTTAGCACTTTCACAAATGTTTGTCCTGGCAAGTTTAGATACATTTTTTGCTGTTTATTTCTGTGCGTCTGTATGATATGCAAATGGACAAAACAGGGAAAAACAACTTCAGACTCATTGTGAGGTCAGAACCTGCCATTCAGTCCAGTTCCAGTTTCCAAATCAACCTGGCATACTGCCTTTAGCCGGGACAGGAAGTGGGTGGAAATGGACTTCCTGTCAGGATGTGGCTCGTGAGAGCGCAGCACAGAGTACAATCGTATGCTACGTTCTCACCCAGACTACAGCACCTGTGCTTCCTCTACGCAGGACACACGCAGGAGCTCCGACTGAGGCCCAACAGACCTCGCTCAGAATTGTTTCCTCCTTTACACACAGTGCTGACTGATGTTCTCCTGGCTTTACTTTGATGCTTTGTGTCCAACTTGAATTTGTTTTCACATGTCAGAAAATGTCTATATGTTCTGCTCTTTAGATGAATGTAACGTGAAGCACCATTGCAGTTTCCCAATGGTATGATCATATTGTCACTGCTGTTGCCATGTGTTTTATTTAAATCTATACTTACCCTGTGGATTTGTTGTGCGTTGCAGAGGTTTGGCATAACCGAGATGAAAAACAGAACTTCCTTCAATGTTTTGATGCTCAATTGGTGTGTGAGGAGAAGAGATTGGAAGTTGAAGAGGAGCTCAGAGTTCAGGTGGGAGCAGAGCTGTCATCAGGGTGGAAACAGGGGCCTGTGATGAAGGAGGCTCAGTAAACACATATTAAACCTTCCAAAAGTATGAGGAGTGGGGCCCTCAGTTTCATAATTTTGTCTTGTACCCTTGTGAATTCAAGCCCTGGTTGGGAGTAAAGAAATCAACACTCTCTCTGCACTACATTTTTATAAAAGTCATAACACTCTATGAAAACAAAACACCTCAGCTCCTTCACTTCCCTTGTGGCCTAATTCATTCCTTTACATTTTTTTTAGTCTTTCTCCCACTTTGTTTTTATCTTTCTCTATCTCTTTGTTTCAGGTGGATGAACTGATGAGGCAGGAACTGAAAAACCTTAAGCTGGTGGTGGACCGAGACAAGGGAAAGAAAAAGAAAAAAGTCAAGAAAAGTAGTAAAAAGGTGAATGGCATGCATACTTCCTTGTAGATAAGACCTTAAGCACATTCTAAATGCCCTGCATGAGTGACAGTGTACAGATGCTCAGTGCTCCCTGCTCAGATTCTAGATGGTGACTGGTCTGTAAACGCCTGTAACGTGTCGTTTAGTCTGGATAGAACCAGAACTTGAGATGTACTCTCAGCCTTCTGTTTATGCACCTTGTGTGAGGGGCCCTGGCGTCATACAGTGATCTGCCCTTATGACCAGGAATGTGGGCTGGACAGAGAATTAGTAAAGGTGTCTTGCCCTCGTCAGCTTGAGTTTTGATAGGGCCCCTTTTTCCCACCTTCTCTACCACACACACACACACACACATAAGCAATATATGTCTAGTGGAACAAAGACATATATGCCTGGGTAAAGTACATTTACACACACAAGAAGGTTAAATGTGGCTTATTGACACTGGCATTTGAATATGCTTCCATAAAATCCTAAACCCAGAAACCCAGTGTTATCAGAATGTTGATGCTTTACGACTTACTACATCACAACGGTCAATACTAGACATTCATATGTGCAAAGTGCACACAATAAACACAAATTATCATGCTAGCAATATCTAGACAGAATAATAAACATAGACCGAGATAAATGTGAATATGTGTGTGGCTGTTTAACTGTGACCTGTAAATATATGTGAATATATAGGTGATCAATCCATCTCTGTATTTCCTGCAATCAGTCAGTATTGTGTCTTTTCCAAAACAAGACGCAGAGAAAAAGGCCTCATCGCATGCCTGCACAAGAGCTAGAATTCCTCAACAACATATTTGGCACTCTGCTTGAGTTGTTTTACGCTGAGAGGTTTTGACAGCTAAATCGGTCACAGACGCTGTCTTTCTGACGCGTGTAATTTATACACAAAGATGTTTTATCATTAATCATCCTGCAAATGCAGGCACACGCAAATCGCATTCAGCTATGCTGGCATAAGACTAAATTCTATTTTCTCACAAGGTTGGTATATTGAACTTTGTAAAACATTGAAATTCAAATTTTGGAAAACATTCAGTGAATTTTGGAAGCTATGCAATTTGGGTACAGCAAATGAAACATTATGCAACAGGGAGGGTTTGTTTGTTAAGTGAACATGCGATGCCCAACTTGAGCTAATGCTAGAAGGAGTTCACTCTGTCTGTTATATAGTTGCAGACATCAGTGTTTTTAGGAGAAAGCTACTGACTTCTCCATTCGCAGGGTGTTTTCGATCTTAATATCATTGACTCACAAACTCAGACCTGCCAGGAAATGATCTAAAATTCTCCATAAAAATATTTTGGGGAATCACAGTACACTCAGTCCAGTGGTTTCTGAGAAAAAGCAGTGGATATGTTCTATTCCTCACCCAATAAATATTTAGAACATTTGGTAATGTATTATCTGAGAAAATACCTGGCTGCTAGTCCTGCTAGTCTGGTTCATTTGTGGTTTGGAAAAGCCAAGCAAGGTTCCAGGGTGTCTCCGGCAAGCTGAATAAAAACGGTTGTATTAAGAGTTCTTTATGGATAATCAAGAAAATACACACGTGTAGTGACACACAGTGTAATCGATTTGTTTGTTAAGTCAAGTCACCAGATGTTTTTCAGGATTTTTTCATTTTGGGTGCAAGCACATATGCCACAAATCTGTTATTAAGATTTTTCATTGTTGAGTCAGAAGATTTAATATACTGAAACAGACATGTACATGTTCCTTGCTGTTAAAAGAAAAATACACTTCCTTTACAGTCTGACACTAATCTAGGAGCACTTTGATTCACATTATGGCTTATTTCAATCTATTTTAATACAAACCAGAAAAATTAATACTGGTACTGTCATATGACAAAATATTTTACTACCCTTCTTGATTCTTAATTATTTTCAGATCTTGTTGTCCATAACTAAAAACACATTTTCTTTGCTTTCAGAAAAAAAAGAAGGGGCGGAAGACTGGAAAGAAGAAGAAGAAGAAAGAGAAGGATCTCACAGCTGACAGGTTTGAATAACCAAACTGGTTTAAAATGCAAAGTCTGTTTCACAAGAATCTTATGTAGTTTAATCATTGCTAATAGAGCACATCTGACCCCTGCCACTGTTTGCACTGGGAGATGTAGCTCATATGTTAGACACCAGTGCACTGAGAGAGTTCTGCAATAGAGGGATTGTGTCTTTGGAAAGTGCTCAGGCGTTGTGAGTGTCAGGGGTTTGGAGCTCAGGGGGTGACTGGCAGACGTCCATGTGGAGCAGAAGAATTCATTGCTGGCTTTGAACGCTGTGATGTAATAGAAGGTTGCGTCAGATACACAGCATGACTGATCAGTTTGCAATGCTCTTTCTCTTGTTCTTTCTCCTAAACTTTCTGTCTACCTCTCTTCTTGTTTTCCCTCTAGGACCATAGAATCACTGTATGAGGAGCTTGTAATGGAAGGCTTCATAATCAGGCCAAAGAACATCAAGTTGACAGATTACATTGGTAAAAACCAAACACAATCACCACCGAGATAACAGTCACTTCTTTTTAGTCTCGGACATTCTGTAATTACCTGACCCAAAACTGGTTTCATTTGATCAATTCTGCGTTGAATTGAATGAAAATTCTGTCATTACCCTTATCCTGTCGTTCCAAACCCATATGACTTTCTTTATTTTGCATTTACATTACATGGTTCAAGTATCCCAATTCTGACTTTTTTTTGTGCCCATGTGGCACAGATCGGATATGACCCACGAACATGTAAGCAGGAAAAAACAAATGGATCCCAACATTCTCAGATCAGTTTCAGGCCTCATTCAAATGTGGAAATGTGAACTCTGTTATGAATCAGACACATGCATTTGCATCTGTCATGTAAGTCATGTAAACTGGTCATCAAAAGAATCTGATATAATCAACAAATTGGAATTGTGCATCAAGACCTGCTGTAACGTCGGACGCATGACAACAGAGTTGAGGATCCATCTGAAACTTTATTTAGAGCATAGTCAGACAGGCAGGGTCAAAACTAGTGATGGGATGATTGATACTGAGGCTCCGATGCTCCGACGCAGTTTTCAAAGCATTATTGTAGGCTTCAGTAATGAACCGTTTTTCGGCACAATTTGATGAAAGCCTCAAACAGTTCAGAAAGCCTCGGTTTCCCATCACTAGTCAAAACACCAGCAAAACAGTACATCCAAGGTATTCCAAAAGAGTAATCTACAGAGCAGGTAGTAAACTATCACAAACCAGGTAAACAGTCCAAGAACAAAGCATGAAGGCAAGGCAAGACAAGGCAGAAACTAGACAACATAACAGGCTAACAATAATCAGCAATGTGTGGATGAGTGCAACCTTTATCGTGTCACTGATGGGAAACAGGTGTGGTGTGATAATGAGTTCCTATGCAGGGGTTATGGGAAATGGAGTCCTGAGAAAACAAAGACGAAATCCACTATCGTGACATCTGCAGTGTAAATGTGGCCAAAATGTCTTCTTTTATGTTCCACAGACGAAAGAAAGTCATACAGGTTTGGAAAGACATAAGGGTGAGTGAATGATGACTGAATGTTTATTTATGGATGATCTATCCCTGCTTAAACTAAACATTACAATCAAAAAATATTTCATTCTGTTTTGAAGATGTAAACATTTCAGTTGTATGACACTTTTTTTTCTAATTGAATAGTCTATAAATGGTGTACATATTTCTGAATAAATGTTAAGAATTTTACTACAGTTAATTAAAAGTAGAGCAGCATATCAACTATAACCAACAAATTTTAAAGCTATGAAACTATGACGAACTATAATTATACTTAGCAAAGTTAAGCATATTTAAATAAATGGATCATTTATTTAATTGTTTTTTCTTGGAAAATTTATTGTAAAAAAAAAAAAACTTTTTTTTAACTCACTTCATTTTTTTGTAACATTCATTCATTCATTTGTTGTTGTTATTTTTATTATTATTATTATTATTGGACAATCAGATCTTATAGTCCACTCTGTCAATGGTACCAGAAAAGACTAGATCTTCATTTGGCACAAGAAGTTGAAGGCCCTTTAAGAATCATTCCATCCCCTCTGTTTCCTGGCAGTGTAATGCCACATGAAAAGAGAGACTCTTGTCCCAGTTCAATGGCTGTGGTCACACTTATGGACTCCAAACTGCCTCTGAAGTCATTTGTTTACTAAACATTTCAGTATTCCTGCTGATAATTCTTGGAAATAATTAGTATAGCTAAATAACATAAAGTACATAAAGTCCAATCTCAGAGCTGTAGCTTTGAAGTGAACATTTATTGTACATTGAGGTGTCTTTCCTAGAACAACTTAAAAACACTGCTTTCAGTGGTTTTCATGTTTTGCTATTTCTTACATCTCACAAGCACATTGAAGTCAGAGTTAACTCAGTCATATAGCAGCGTAAATGATGTTTTATGATGCAATGCATTGGCCAGGGGTTCAATCTGGGTTTTACTGCTAAAGCGACTTGATCACAGACACGTGCGCAGTGCTGAATCACATCCCTGTGAACGAGTGTGTATCACAATGGATTTTATGACTCATCAACGGTTCAACTGCACAGCGTAGCAACCTAATGTTGCTCTAAAATGGCACAAAATATGAAGCCTTGATATTTTGTTTCTGTTTAGTGTCTTCTTACAGGAACAGGGTGTGGCGTTTCAAGTATAGAAACCACATCGACTGCTATGTGATGGAACAACTTTGTTACTCTGAAAGTGTTTTTTTTACATTCCATGGAAACTAGGGTTGTAACGGTGATGTGATGCAATGCTGGCAAGAAGCCATTGATGTCTAATGTTTGATAACATATGTAAAGCAGTCTGGCATATGTTTTTCCTTGTCTCTCTAGGCGAATACAGTTACCTGGGCACAACATTGCGGCAAGCAGATATTGAGCCCATGCCATCTCTCTCTGATGTCAGACAGCTCATCGCACTGTATGGCATCCTGCCTCTGGGTGAGTGTAACCAGCTCTGACTAGTCAGGCCTAGTCAACACTGCTTCCCATTTTAGTCATTAAAAAAATGCGCAAAAACACCTGGAGTCTGGTACTACTAAAATATTAATAATCATGAGATATTTTATTTGAATATATCTTCATATGAAAATTTTAAGGAACATACAGTCTGAGAATTACCAGTATTAACAAAACCATTAATATTACTTATTAATGTTTTAAAACATTCACATAAACTTTCACTTTCAGATGAAAAAGGCAATGAATTTTTCATGCTGCAGTGGTTCATCAATCGGCATGTATATTCATGTTTATCAACAAAATTCAGTCCATGATGGTGTGTTGTAGATATAAATAGGCTAAATATATTTTACAATATATAAAATATTTTATTTTTACTGTATTTGTATGTTCTATTCTAATTAATTGATGTCTGCATAATGTATAACAATCAACATAAATTTTTCAGGAGCAGTACTATCAGATCCATGCACACGTTTGGGTGTGTGTGTGTGTGTGTTAGAGTAGGTAACAGAACGCACTCTGTCTGCCCTTCTGAACTGTACTTGACCTTAATAAGCAGCTCACGGTCTTTTGTAACTTTCTCTGGAGCGAATGCTTCATTGCCATAGCAATGCCTGGTGTCCCGTATCACAGTATCAACATCAACATTCATGCTATACCACTCACTTCTCATTTAATAACCCAGCATGGGCTCAATGGGATCAGCACAGGGATCAGGCAGATCATACACACGCTGTCCTGGTGGGCTGTAACCTTAACAACACTTTGCAGGGAGAGTTAGACTCTCCCTCAGTGATTCGTGGCCCTAGGCAGAAAAGGGTTACCACATAAACAGAGTTCAGTGCTAAAACAAAGATGCCTCAGTCAGCAGCGGCAAAACAATCACACACAGGAGTCGGGACGTCTATATCCCTAAAGATCTCTGTGGTATAAGAGAGTGCGATGTCTCTCCAGAGGTCCCTCATTGCAGCATTCCCAGAGGAGAGTAACAGATCATCTACACTGCAAGTACAAACCTGGATTGCTCCCAATACAGCAAAAATTCACCCTGTCTATTTTCTAAGTGCATTATCATCTTATTGTGAATAATTCATTTTTTATAACTGATAATTCAAATGTTTTTTTACCTCACCTCTACAAGCTCACTTTCATCTGCATCTGCTTTTGAGAGCAATGGCCAAAATCTCAAAATCTAATCATCAATAGATGCATAGAACCAAGTTCCCACATTTTTTTCTTTCCTGATAATCCTTCAAGTTACTTTGTAATTTAACTAATGCTAATACTGGCCAAGTGTTTTTTACATGTTAGACTGTTAAATGTTGTTTATGCATTTATAAAATTGGCATTTGGAGTTAATAGTTTGAAACCATTTTAATGGTAAATTTTCAATGTTTATTTTATGGATATTTTTGTTTGATTCTACAGACATTTAATTATCCTAGAAGCAAAACTGATGTAGTGCAGCACCAAATAAATATAAACCAACATTAGCCAATAGAGAAAATCATTCTGGTCTAAGCTTGCTAAAAAGAGGAACAAAGAGAAAGAGAGCAAAGATTAATCATTAGATTCATTATCCACTTTCTCAATTCCTACTCAGTGTGTGCTTTCTAATAAGACATAAATCCTAGATTTATGTATTTTTGATAATTGTCCTGCCTTGGCCTGAGGTATGTGTCTCTCTAAAGAGATCAAGTCTTGAGATCTACCCACTAGATTTAATTTAATTCCATTATTTTCTTTTCTTTTCTTTATATAATGAGAAGTGAGAAATATAATCACTCAAACCATTTTATTGGGCGGACTCGAGTAAATCTGATTTGAGCATATCAAAGCTGGCGGTTGTTAATTGGGACAGTGTGTGAAACACATGAACTTTGTTGTTTAGAACAACCGTTTTGTAGGTGATTGTAGAAAAGCACAGGTTTCTCACAGTGTCCCTCATTGTGCTTGTCTGTAAACTGTTTTATACTTGATAAACTTTGCAGATATTCTGAGGTCAAATGGACTTCCTCCATAACACAATGGCCCTTTTAACAGAGCTGTCGGGGGAGATTAGGAAGTGTAACTCAGTTTTGAATAATCATGTTTAAAACGTGGTGCATGGGAACTGTACACGCAGATACACATTCATTCATGCATACACATACACATAGGCTATGCTCCATTCTGCACACAATGTGTAGTAAAAGTACGCACTTCGCTGATGATGGTGAAGTCCATACTTTTGAATGTGCAGCAATGGGTGGCTAATATCCTATGAAAATTTCCTATGAGAGACAAATGAGCTTCCTCAAGGGGGCGCTTACCTGCCTGGAAAATTGAACTCTCCATTGAACCACATGCAAAACTCAGGATGTTTATTTTACTGGAACCATTTGTACACTAGAAAGTTATTTTGTTCAAATCATTAATTAAGCAGTCATACCTGAGACATAGCTGGAACTCCTACAGTCTTTATAAATATTGTCTTAAATTCTTATTCAGCTTACAAAAACAACTGTGATCCAACCTAACTATCCAGTTGAGACAATTGAGCCTTGTCTGGTGAAACATTATTCAGGTACTGTATCTTGATATCGAAGCTAAATTCATTACCTTATAAGTAATAGTATTTCTTAGCGTTTACCTTTATATAATGAAAAAAAAACGCAGCAGCAACTTTGGCTTTGCATTCCTTGCAAAAAACTACAAAAAATGTCAAAAGTAAAGCATTACAAACTCATCCTTTCTTCATGTGGACAATAGCCCAAAAAGCATGCACATACGCACACAAAGTATTATATCACTTGATTATGATTTTAGATATGTTAAGTCTAATTTTAAATTTAATTCTAATATTATTTAGGATAGTATTTGAATTAGGATGTAATCTATGCCCATGTCACGGAGACGGGTGTGCTAGAGATCAGGCAGGACGACGAAGATGACGAATACAATAATATTTAATAAACTCACAACAGGTAATCCAGACAGGGTAATTACACGTAGCACAAGGAGTAGAGTAGACATCAACAATAACCGACCGGGCAGATAACGAGGGGCAGACAGGTGAGCACAATGAGGTGATTAACTAATAATGAGAACAGGAACAACCGAATAAGGACACAGAGGGAGAAACCACAATCAACAGTCCACAGAGGTGTGACAGATCGCCTCCCCCCCTCCCGGAAGGCGCGTCCTTGCGCCGTGGAGACAGAGGGAGGGATGGAGGGGGATTTAGGAGGAGGACAAAGGAGTGGATGTGGGATGGTGACAGGGGAAGCAAAGGGCTGGCAGGCAGACATGACAGGTGGAGGTTCCAGCGGAGGATGGATATCTGGGAGGAGGCCGGCAGACAGAGACCAGGGGGGGCGACGAAGGAGGGAGGAGACAGAAGGGACCCGGAGCAGGAGGAGCTCAGCAGGACCCAGACCACAGCCATAAAAGCGGCCCACGGTGGAGCCGACGGTGGGATGAGGGATGACCGCCAACTCCAGGGGCGGAGACGGAGAGCCAACGAGCCAGGGGGATGCCGAGGATCCAGGGTGGAGCCGAGGGCTCTGGTGACCGAGGCGGAGATCCGCGGCGAAGCCGAAGCGACTGAGGACCAAGGTGGAGCTGGCGGGAGGAAGGAGCCCGATGGAGCAACAAGGCGCAGC